CACCAATCCACTACCATAAACCAATCATACCGTGAAACTATCTTTAGGTACCTGATGATGACAAAACCTTGTCGAAATGTTGTACATTTGCTGTTATATTAAAATTTTTCTTCATTACCCATTCAAGCCGTCTCCAGCCATTATTAGTCTCAAAGTGGGTTCCTTGTCATCGTATTTGAAACACTATCTGTTGAGCTCTTTATTGTGACGTGTATTTTCCTAACTAATGATAATGCTTTACCAGCTGAGATGTTATACAACATGTTAAGTAAGACAGAAACAAATTTTCCAAACAACTTTAATAACCAATGTTGTAGTTTGTATCAACTTGGAAGAGATAAATAATTACAAAATACCCTCTAGCTGAATTCTAATATTTGGTATTTTATTGACTAAGCTATTCTACATTAAAAACTAAAGTTATTTAAAAATATCATCATCTGTTTCATAAATTGATTTCAGTCTGGTCTGTGTTTGTACTACATCATCATCAGTGTAATTTATCGTCTCTGGAGGTATCAAAGCCGCAGCAACAGAACGATGTTCGGCATTCAAGAAATTAAAGGTTGAACATGCTTGATACTGTAAAAAAAAATCATACATATAGTTGTACTTAAATATTATAATATTTTAAAAGAGAACTGTATACAAGACAAGAATTTTGACCCCTCTATGAAGATCTGTTTACATGTACAGTGTTCATATTATTTTCAAAAACTAGGAAACCACAAAAATTCTGTTATTTTTAATCGTGTCTATATCTCGGCTATAAAACTGTCACATTTCGTGTACTGTGTACACTAAGTGTTCACATTCCACCTGCAATCACTAACCAATCCGTTGGCAGTGACTGTCACAGTAAAATCTTGAACACCTTTAGGTGGTCTTGTGAGCCCATTTGAGTCCCAGGAACCACGTTACTGATGCTGTATTTGCACAGCACCCCACTAATCTTGGATGTGCATTACAGAAAGGTAATATCCATATAATATAGGTGGGTCATTCTTACTATTATGTTGAATTCAGAAAATGCACTTAAAACACGGTAGGATTGAACCTTTGCACAAGACAGACCATCCACTTCACTACTGACCAACATGTACAGACCTGCAGTCTATCTTCGAATAGGTTCTGTTGTGTGCATTAACACTTGCTTCAACTGGTATATGTACACATTATTCAGCAACTGTGGAAATTTCAAAGCTGCATCACCTTCCTCAGTTTTTTCTCTATCAACCTCTTTTGTACCAAACCTTCAGATCTGACAATCAGTTGGAAGTTGTTGAGCTGTTTCACTGGTTCAAACATGCATTGTGTGATATTAGAATAAACTTCAGTGTTTTGCACGTGAGCAAGCTGGCAGCAGTTGCAAGGGGAACTGAAAGTTTCCCTACAAAAGGAAGCTGATGGGGGGGGGTACTGAAAGTTTCCCTACAAAAGGAAGCTGCTAGGGGGGAACTGAAAGTTTTCCCTACAAAAGACTCTGCTGAGGGATACGGAAAGTTTTCATTACAAAAGGAAGCTGCTGGGGGGTACCGAAAGTTTTCACTACAAAAGGAAGCTGTTGGCTGATGAAATACCATGTCCAGTATCTTGAACTATTTTATGTGATCGTTTGGATCTTCTACTGGCAAGCACTTTTGTGACAAGCTTTGAGAAATTGGATTCCTCTCTAGTTACACTCCTGGTTACACTCCTTTTGTAGAAAAATGGCAACTGGGTCACTTTACAGTCTCACCAATACCTGAATGGGAACTGTAATTTGAAACAATAGTACTGCTGATGACTTTTGGTACAAATTGTTAGGTATTACAATTTTGAATGGTCTGAAACCAAGCTAAATGATTATTTAAATTCAGTAGTTAAATATATGCTGATATATCTCCAATTTATGATATTTGCCAACAAGATTGATACACACTGTTTTCTTCTTTTTTTTTAATACAAATATATTTTAATACACAAACAATAATACAATTTACAATAACAGTTATTACAAACAATGATTTATATACCAAAGTTTCACAAACTTACAACAATATAAAGTCTTCTTTCTAGTGTGGAACTTCCTTCATATCTTATTGAGGGTTCACGATGAGCGAATTAATTTCGAGTTGACGTAGGTATAATTCACTTAACAGGGAGCTAGCTAGCTTTGTCCTTCATTATTCACTAGCCACACACACTGAGTTTTTCTATGATGAAGTCATATAATGTTTTCATAAAAAATACTAATGTCCGATGAGAATCCACTGAAGTTAAATGATTCGTAATTTTTGAACTTTGTAAATGCTCCTGGTCAAATATCTGAAGTTCTCCAGTTAATAAGAGCTAATCACAATCATAGTTATAGCTTCCAAAGTTTATAGCACACTGACTGTAGCAAACTAATAATAGATACTGTTTTTTGGCATCACGTTGGTTATATTTATAGCAGTGTAGAGTTTCTCGAAAATTCAGATTATGCAACAATACTAACACGCTACCCTAGAGTTTACATACACATATATATTGTTGATTCTTACACTCAAGAATCTTCTACAACTTCAGAGAATAGGCGGGAGTTTCGCAATACATATTTAACAGTATAAGTTATGTACATTTGTAAATATAAATTTAGTTAAAGCAAACATCGATATTAAAATGAATATATGATAATAAATTCGTCACAAAATGCTATCATATCCAGCAGGAGTTTTCTTCTCTCTGTAAAGGTAGCTTCTTAGTTTGCCATTATATGGTCCTGATATGTGCTTTTTTCCTTTTGGTCTACGGCTTGCAAGCCATAGGACACATTCTATTCCATTCCTTTGGCATGAATAAATGTTGTTTTGCTACCGTTACTTGAGATTAATCCTTATAAACTGCTCAGCAAAATGGCAAATATTATTGGTTCTGTAAGTACAAAAGTGTCTGTTGGATAATGTAACTTCATTGTGTAACAAAGTAAGTTGTGATTTCATTGGTTAATACATGTGATGTCCATAAGATTAGTGTAGGTTTTTCCAGTGGTTATCTTTTCCATATTGTACATTTACAAAGAATAATTTCTCTGGTACCACATCACACTTTGTGATCCAAATCTACCTTATTTGCGATTCAATTATACCCTTAAATAACACAAACTGCAAAACAATTTTTATAATTCTATTCATATAGGTATATAATAATTCCAGAGAAGGAAAAAAAAGTTTTTAAGGAGTTAGGCCTAAATTACACCCTTTTTATTTTATAACAAGGTCTTATTTTCATTTTGGAAAATAAATATATATTTTGGATAGAAAAGTAGATTACACGAATAGGCCTAGTGAGGTCAAGTATTGAACAGTAGTATTCTCAAGGTTAAGAATTCATAGGAATACACAGTATTGTATTTCTCAAGGTTAAGAGTTCATAGAAATACACAGTATTGTATTAAAACGTTTTGTTTTTTTTTCCACAGAAAATAGTCTTGATAGTTTTTTTTCAAGAATCAAACAACTTGATGCAGTATTGTTTTAATGGATTGCATGTACATCTGTCATTTTGTGTTAACCATGTGTTGGTGAAGTGCTATGCAAGTTTTTCCAACTTCTATGTAAAGTTATTTTGTGTAGCAACTGCTTCTATACAAAACTTTTGAAACAAATAACCCAATGATTTAAATCACAAAAATAGGAAAATGTCACAAAAGATGACATTAGTATGAACAATAATTTTCTGGAAAATATCCAGTGCCATCTTTAAATAATATTATATTTTAATATTCATCACATAATGATAAACAGCATACCAAAGACTGAAACTATTTCAAAATGGACACAAAGTATAAAAAAAACAACAACTATGATAACCATAAATTTCATTCCAATGGTGAATAGTAAATATTTTCTACCTATCATTTGTAGGCAAAATTCCTATCTTATTGACCCTTATATTTTAAAACTATCAATACAAATACCATTACAATAAAAGTGTATGTGATAACTATGAATATAAACAGATGGCATTCTTAAAAGAAATAAAGTTTTGGACTTTTCATTAGATTTAACAGAGGTTAAGTACATTAAAACAATTTTTGAGCATCACCATGTTATTATAGTCCATATCTGTATGTCTGATCATACTCTATCCAATAGCTCTGTACTGTAGTTTCCACTGAAAATATGCTGTCATGCCCAAAGCACATCATTCCTCCCTCTCTGCTTTCCATACTCTATCTAGTTTACAAGAACAATGGTTTCCCAGCACCCATTTCAACATCCAATCACATAGAAATCCATAGGATTGTTTTCTGTGATTTGAATAGTTTGTCTTCATATGGAATAGCATGAATACCCACTTTATTCTTCAGCTGTTTAAGTTATGCAATGGTTGAAGGAGTAAATTTTGTAAACAACTTGTGTATAGGACACTAGTCACTATTCCAGATGGAGTTCATTAATGATTATCTTGAACACTGTGGCCTAAGGCAGCTCTTTGTGTTTATGGATTTTCATTTGTTATAAGATACATCACTTTGCTTATCACGGCTAGGGTACAAACTGTTGCAGGTCACTTTCTGGAGGGTCTTGATACCCCAAGTTGATCCATAATCCTTTGTCTTCCAATGCCATTAAGTACAAGGGACATGCCCATTAAGAAAAATCTATATTTCTAATCTGAACATATTTTTATGATTTGAGTGTATGAATATTTTTGTATTGGAAATCGTTGTTACATACCACTCCCAAAATAATTCATTTTTGGTGGTATTTCACTACCTATGAAATGCCTAACAGTGTCAAAATGTAGTTCTGACACACGATGATAACATGAAACATTATAGCAACTGTGACTGCATAATGATATACAAAATCATTTCAATATAACATGTTCAACCATCTGTGTAAGTTATTACATGTATATGCTGAAAATTAAATGTTGCCAAAATCCTAAGTAATAATTATACAGACTATTTCTCTCAAATATAAACGTGATAACTAGTCTTTTATACTGTGAGTTTTAACAGGATTTATTTCTAAAAACTTACCGTTGGAAGAATTTCCATATTAATCTTCTTCGATGCCATGAATTTTATAACACTATAATCAATTTTGTTGGATCCATAACCTCCAGTTCCAATGATTAGTAAATCTAGAATAATAATAATAAAAACATGTCAAGCTTTCAATACTTGGTAAGTTAACAAAAATTAATTAGGTCTTAGCAAACACCTTCTTGAAGATTGTGTCCTAGGCTAGCTTTCATCAAAAGAGACCAAGTAGTTTTATTTAGCACACTGCATAAACAAAATTATGACATATGGTTTGAGAAATGCTGATAGTTTCTACTTACTCATACATTCCTGAAATACTGTTTAAAATAACTAATGTAGTTCTTTATATTTACAATTCATCCTGCTTCAACTCAGAAAAAAAAATCCTTAAATTAGAAATATCAACAATACTGGTTTTAAAGCACCAAATAAAAAGTCATCATATAAAATACTTAAAAAAATAATTTACTGAGAAGTCTGTAAAGGAATAAATATGAAGTACACAGAAATTGGTACATGCGAACATGCCAAAATGAACCATATAGTATTGGTAAGTTTTTTTTTTTTTTTTTTTTATCTTTATTCTATTTTAGTTGATGTTAACATTGTACACTAACCTATCTGTGTCAAGTTAGTTCAGTAGCTGCAAACACCAGTTTTAGGCATGTTCATTTACAGGAAGACATTAAGATAATATCACTATTAAGATACTTTTCACTGGTCATCACTTGAATTCTAAGCAACACCATTGCTCTATCTCTCACATCAAGAAACAAAATAAAAACTTACCAATCTTAGGTTCCAAAAGGTAAAACAAGGAAAGAGAATCTGGATTAATGTCCTCAGTCTTTTTTACCTGTATTAGAAATGTTAAAACTCAATAAAAGTCAAATAATACAAAACTATGGAAAACTGATGATATATATTAAAAAAAACTTTTCAACCACTGACTACAAACTGTACTGATCATATGTAAATATATCACACACAAGTTTTTTAAATTAGCACTAAAGGTAGGATAATATGGCTTTTTAAGATAATATAACAAAATGAAGGTGAATGAAAACAATGATAATCATACATTTTAAATACCATTTATCAGAAAATATTAACAAATTAATACCACTTCATCAATCACCACTTACCTACTGGACTGGATCATATATTTTTACAGTTGATGTTTTTTTTTTTAACATTGAAAAACATTTAGAGATGATAAGGTCTGGAATGATTACTATACAGAGCCTTGATATAATCTTTGTTATTTCATTTTTTATATAAACAGATTTTTACATCCAATCTAATAAAGATGTCTGTCATACCTACAATGATCACATATCATTCTGTGTAACACTGGCTCTTAATCACGTCACTGTAAAGTACACTAACTGGACGACTTATCACGACTCTCAGTTGATATTAGGTAGGATATCCTTTCCAAGAAAAAATAACCTCGACTCAATGAAATGCCAGAAGGTTTCTTCTTTCAACATACAGAGATTAACAGAGTTATGGCTGTGAATATACTGTTAAAGTTCATCTCAAGAATATTCAACTGGATTAAGATTTGATGACTAAACTGGAGAAGGACACAGTCTTGTTCTTTGAACCAACGTCAGGGACCACGAACGTAGGGGATTGTTACCATCTTGAAGGTGCCCTTTCCTTTAGTATGGACGTGATATATAGGTGTTTACGCACACTCTAGCTGTAATGTGTTATTCTATAGGCACCAAAGGGTTCTACTTTGGTCATGAGAATGGTCTACACACTACTACAGCTCCTCCAGTGGCTTGCACTGTTAGAAACATAATTTCACTCAATTGTGAGTACATAAAATGGTGATTAGTTTCCTATCTAAGTATTACTTAAACAGAACTTTCTTGTTTATACCAGTTTTCAGATTGTTTATCAGCTGTAATTCCTTCACATAGTACACTTGAAAATAATCAAATCCTGACTCTGGTTGAAAGAATCAGCCAAATGAGATGTGGTCTGATGTCTGTTACACATTTGTATATCATGTGAGTGGTGGTACAGTTTTTCTTAATGGCAAAATGCATCTTTCTGTAGATAGGCTCTGATGATAGATGTCTTGCTCCTCATAGCTCCTCATGAAAAGTCTTTAATGATGCTTTTGTTAAAAGAAAACCCACTACGATAGCCTTTTGAAATTCAGATACTTTGTTCTTTCCTGTTGCCTTGCAGAGTAACCACGATATAATTACGTCTCTAAATGCATATTAATGTATCATGATTAGTCTGATTTGCATAAGCAAATAAAAAAACATGATCAACAAATGTGCATGTACAATAACTTGGCCAGCCAGAGTTGAAACTCACTGTAAAATACTTACAGTACCAATACAAAATAATCTAAGCTTTATTTCACTCCATCATTATGTAGAACTGTCCGATTTATTTGTTTAACATCTTTCTAAATACATAACAATCTAAGCTTTATTTTACTCCATTATTATGTAGAACTGTCCGATATATTTCTT